ATCGGCCCTACCCTGAGCGTGAGTGAGGGTGGCATTGCAACCTCCCGATCCGCCCTGCTCTGTGCATGACGGGGCAGCGCCCCAACTCCCCAATTGGCCCTGCTCTGAGCCTGACCAGGGGCTGCACTTAGGGATTGGGCCTGCCCTCTGCCACCCGGGAACAGGCCTAAGCCAGCAGGTCGTTTTCTCCCAAGGGGTCCCAGACTGCGAGAGGGCACAGGCCGGGCTGGGGCCCCCCCCCCCCCGAGTGCACAAATTTTTGTGCACCGGGCCTCTAGTCCTATATAATAAAATCCTACTAATATGCACAACCGAATGGCAGAACAACCGGTGGAATGACCGGTCGCTATGACGCACAATGACCACCAGGGGGCAGATGCTCAAAGCAGGAGCTGCCCCCTGGTGGTCAGTGCACTCCCACAGCTGGAGTGCTGCTCAGCCAGAAGCTGTGCTCATGGCTGGCGAGCACAGCAGTGGTGGCAGAAACCTCTCCTGCCTCCACTGCAGCACTAAGGAGTGGCAAGCCAAGTGGTAAGGAGAGAGCAGATGGGCGGTTAGGAATGAGGGGTCTCAGATTTCAAGAGGGATGTCGTGCACCGGGCCTCTAGTACTGTATAGTATATTTGAAAGTTGTTAAGAGAATAGATCTTAAAAGTTCTCATCACAAGCCCTGTTCAGGTGGCTTAGTTGGTTAGAGCATCGTCCCATACACCAAAAAAAGGTTGCAGGTTCATTTCCTGGTCAGGGCACATACATCGGTTTCAGGTTGGATCCCAGGTCAGGTGCTTACAGGAGATAACCAATCAATGTTTCCCTCACACATAGATGTCTCTCTCTCTCTCTCAAATTAATAAACATATCTTCAGGTGAGGATTTTTTTTAAAAAAGTTCTCATCTCATGAATTATTTGTAACTATGAGTGGTGATGGATATTAACTAGATTTATCCTGGTGATTACTTAACATATAAATACTAGAGGCCCAGTGCACAAAAATTTGTGCACTTGGGGTGTCCCTCAGCATGGCCTGCACCCTCCCACAGACCAGGAGCCGTCAGGGGATGTCCGACTGACAGCTTAGGCAGTCTGGCCTCCTTCTGCAGGAGGTGACCCATGGGCTGATCGGGGGATGGTGCCAGCCGGTGAGCAGCTGGTCCCGCCCCCCAATTGCCCCTCCGCCACTGCTGGTCGCCACCACCTCTCAATCACTGTCCCCTCCCTCTGCCCACTGGCACCTGCCTTGACTGACCTGGCTCCACCCACTCACCAGCTCTACCCACCACCGACTGGTCATAATTTGCATATCAGGCTTTTATTATATAAGATATAGAATCATTATGTTGTACACCTGAAGCTAATCTAATTTTATATGTCAACTAGTGGCCCAGTGCATGAAATTTGTGCACGGATAGGGTCCCTAGGCCTGGCCAGTGATCAGGACCGATTGGGGCTTTCCGGCTGCCAGCCAGGGCCTTCCTTCCCCAGCTCATTCTGCACTGCCCCCTGGTGATCAGAGCACGTTATAGTGAGCAGTCGAATTCATGGTCAGTCGAACTCCCAAGGGGACAATTTGCATATTAGCCTTTTATTATATAGGATTACATCTCAATTTTTAAAACCTACAATTGCTTAAGGAATGACATCCATACTGTGAATCTTTCTAACCAGATCCCAATCTATTTTTCTATCGGTTTCTCTTTCTACTACTCTACTCTGCAATTTTTTAAAATTTTTAAATTATTTTTATTGATTTCAGAGAGGAAGAGAGAGATAAAAACATCAATGATGAGAGAGAACCATTGATCGGCTGCCTCCTGCAGGCCCCCTACTGGGCATGGAGCTGGAAACCCAGGCATGTGCCCTTGACTGGAATCGAACCCGGACTCTTCAGTCTGCAGGCCCACAGTCTATCCACTGAGCCAAACCAGCTAGATCAACTCTGCAAATTTAGAGTGCTTTTCATATTCTGTCTGCCTGGAGTGTTCTAGCCCAAAGATTCTCCAAATGAAGTCCATGGACCAGCTGCATCAGCATCATCGAGGAAACAGTTAAAAATGCAAACTTTGGGGTCCTACCCGAGGACGATTGAGTCACAATCTCTGCAGTCGAGGCTGAGCATTCTGAGTTTTAATGAGCCTCCGTGCTATCCTGATGCACACACAGTCTGAGAAACACTGCCCAAGTCCGAGTCTTCCTTTTGAAATTCTAGGGATCCTTCAAGCTCAACTCAAATGTCATTTTCACTTCAAAGTCAAATTTTCATAGTCAGAAGGAATCTCCATCTCTTCTAAACTTGCAAAGAATTCCATTTGTTGAAATATGTGTTAGTGCAACATAAATTTTATATACACATTATTTTGGTTAAAAAATAAACTTGTTTAATGAATATAGTATATATATATATAATATAAATTTTTTAATTATTATTTTTTTATATATATATTTTATTTCAGAGAGGAAGGGAAAGGGAGAGAGAGATAGAAACATCAATGATGAGAGAGAATCATGGATCGGCTGCCTCTTGCATGCCCCCTACTGGGGATCGAGCCCACAACCCCAGGCATGTGCCCTTGACCGGAATCGAACCTGGGACCCCTCAGTCCACAGGCCAACGCTCTACTCACTGAGCCACACCAGCCAGGACTAATTTTTTTGTCAGTCATCAAAAATCTTAAAACACAATACACATATTACCTGTGTTTTTGGCCAAGTATCTCGCTATTGCTAGGCTCTGGTGAAGTTTAAGTCCATCAACTTCCAAAATGGGTATTTTGCCAAATGGAAGAGCTTAAAATAAAAAGAGGAAAGAATCAACTTCCATAATAAAATCAAGTATTACAATACTCCCATTTTTTACTGATAATTGTGGAAACAAGGCATGATTTTAAAGTCATGGAATTCTTGAATATTTATTTTAAAAGAGTCATTAAGCATCCTCAAGTGGAATCTTTACATTTTACAAGTTTTTTGTTTGTTTTTTTAAATAGAGTTGTTTGTTAGAAGACCTTCTATTCAGTTAATGACAGAACCAGGTCGAAAACCCAGTTAACTCTATATTATACCGTACATTATCTCATATACTAGTACTTACATATCCTTCTACTTAATTTAAAAAAAACAAACACCTTTTTTTTAAAAAAAGCTTCATTAATTTTTGAGGCCTTAATCAGGGATCACATTAATTATTCTTTAAAACCATAGTCTGAGTAATATGGAGAGCTTGACTTACATGTTGAATTACGGTAAGGAATTTAGCAAAATTCTCTTTTTGATGAGGGACTATTTGAAGTATATGGTAAGGCAGCAAGCATATTTGTGCAAACATAGGACAGACTCATAGCAGATATCATATTAATATTTAGTCTGTAAGCTCTGCTTTGTTTTGTTATCAAACCTATTATATTTTTGTCAGAAAGCAATATATATTATAGAAAGCTTCTAAAATGAAGATAAATAAAAATAGTTCTACCACATAATTATAACCATTTTAGTATTTTATTGCTTTCCCATATATATTGAAAAACAATTATAGTGTATATATGTGGGCTTTTATGCAAAAGATATAAATTTTTATCCTCTTTAAACCACTTTTGTGTTCAGTCTCTGTTATTTGACACCATATCCTAACTATCATAAACTTTAAGATCCCTTTCAACTCTATAAAGATATTTTTTAAAATATTAAGAAAATCCAGCAATTCCATTTTTCAATAACAATGAAAAGTTAAGGTAAAATAGGGTATGAGGCACTAAAAAAAATCTAAAAACGTATCTAAAAGCTGACATTTTTAAATGTATTATCTCTACCTCTTGACTTAATTAGTGGTAGAATTAATTTTCACCTATTTTATGTCCACAGAATGAAAAACCCCATATAAAAATTCTGATATTGGAAGAAACGTGTGGACATCAATGGCAAATTTTCATGAGAACAGAAAACAAAATATTCTACCCCACCAGAGAAGAATTCTCTGATAACAAAGAGTGGCTTTTAAGGAACTCATGCTTCCCAAAGGCACGTTGCAATACTTATTGTTTACACCCCATTTATCACAGTGTTATTGCCGTCAGCATTATCTAGTACAAGAAGCTCAGGTCATAGTATGAAATTGACCTGTGTTTCAAAATTGCTAGGGCTGTGAACTTGGGAAAATTACCTAAACACTGTGTATTTCAGTTATCCCAATTATAGAATAAAAATAATAATATATCCCATGTAGGCATGCTAGATAAATTAAATGCAACAGAGGCTGTAGACTCTACAGTGTAGAGTATCTACCAAGTGCCAGCTAGTCTTCAAGGACCCAATAGTTATTTTCTTCAACTTCATCTTTATGTGATTTTATAATAATCCAGCGATAAATATGTGGATTCTAGATGTAATTAGTATTTAATATTTCTAGATAACATGGCAAACATCTTACAGAGGATGACTTGCAGCTTATTGAGAACCACACACTGTTGTTTGTTAAATGTAATGATATTTCCAATTCTTCCCCATTGTCCTCAATGCTAAGTTGCATGTTTTGATTGGGTTACCCGACTGATTTGTCCATTTGCTCTTTTCTCTGATCAAACAGATCCCAGTTTTGTTTTCATATCCACCCCTCTCTTATATAGTCACATGCCTCATAGAAATTGATTCCATCCCCAACTTCAAAGGGGGACTGGGTGGCTCTCATGTTCTTCCCATCCCCTTTGCCAGTGACTGATTCAGAAAAGGACATGTGACTCAGTTTGTGCCAGCGAGACATGGGAAATTTGCTGAGGGCTTCTGGGAAAGTTTTTCTTTATTCTTCTGGGAACTCTTAAGGAAGCAGTTCTCTCCCTTACTCTTTCTCATATATCCTCTTAGCATTGCTGTTCAAGGCTGTGTGGCTGGAATTGCAGTAAGCACATGGCTACCAGCCTCATGACACAGCCAACACACAGAGAAGGAAATGAATAAAGCCATCCTTGGAAACCTGTTCTACTTCTGGATTTTCAGTTTTGTGATACAATTCATTTTTTAAAAAATTATTATTTAAGCCATTTTGAGTTTGGTTTTCTGTTAGAGCAGCACATCTGGTCCACTGTTAAAACATAGGGATCCATAGCAACTCTAATTGTCAAGAATATTGACTTCAGCTCTACCCAGTTTGGCTCAGTGAATAGAGTGTGAGCCTGCAGACCAAAGGTCCTGGGTTCGATTCCAGTCAAGGGCACGTATCTCGGTTGCAGGCTCCTCCCGGGCTTGGGCCCTGGTTGGGGTTGGTGCAGGAGGCAACCAATCAATGTGTTTCTCTCACATCAATATTTCTCTCTGTCTTTCCCTCCCTCTTCCATTGCCTCTAAAAATCAATGGAAAAATATCCTCAGGTGAGGATAAAAAAACATTGACTTCAGTATCCCCATTTCAGCTCTTCTGACATATTGGTTTATCTTTATATTCTCTTTCTCTGGTGTTTGTATTTTCACCTCGAATAGGAAATTTTCTGGGTCACATAGCATTTATTTAGCTTGCCTGCACTGCTGTTTCTCAATATAAAACTATGTGAGATTAAAATTCTTTAGTTTTTCATTTCCCTGAAGAAAGAAAACATTCTGGAAAAATATTTTCCCTACATTTTCATCAACTATTATTTGTGCTACTTACTTGGTTTGATTTCAGGCCAATCAGCTTGTTCTATTCTGTGGTCTTCATACTTTATGTCCAAAAATGCAAATATGTAACGAATAATTTCTGCTCTCCCCCTCATATTAAAATAAATGAGTTTGTAGCTTGGCATTGTGTAATTCTGGAAAGAGAAAAATGGAGGGATTATTTTTACAGCCCTCTAGAGATGTTCAACATTTTTCTTTGGGGACATTTTGAAAACTTTATGGCATCTTTTGAGATAACGGGAGATATTAAAAGATATTTCAAAACCATAATTATAAATCACTATCCTAGTTATATATGGGATGACTTGAAATAACATCAGGACTCTTTTTAAGAACTAGCTGGAACATTCCAGTGAAATAACCAAATTTAATTTTATTATAAAAAGACTTCTGAGTAAGAGGGTATCTGCCCACCAACCTTCAGAGGATGGAGTCAGAACTTTGCATTTTAAGATGTCTTTGTCCTGCCTTCAGTCACTTGTAATAGATGGTGTTTGACATTTGGTTTGTTGTTTGCTTTGTTGACACAGCTGAGTTTGTGAGGACAGTTGGGTACGGATGGAAGGGGCAGGGTACACGCAGCAGAAACATGAGCCAGCCATGCCAACCTCTCACCCTCTCTCTCCCCTCACCTGTGGCTTTTCCCTCTAGGAATCAAAGGCTTAGGGAAACAATGCTCTCTTTTCTTTCTTACTGGTCCATGCTGCTGGCTTTCCTGGGTTGCTTGCAGCATATAAACATACCCCATCTTGGGGACCTCTGTTGGGATGGGACAACGGTGAACATAATTCTCCAGTCCCCCTGTAGAAGAGCAAGGAAGGAAGCAAGCAAACTTGCTTTCTATTTCAGAGAGTTTTCTAATACTAGCTCTACTGGCTAGATGCATGTCACTATATCATTTTGTGAGATTTTTATGTTTTGTGTAATTTCATTTCCATTGTTTTTTGTTTATGTTAATCCTCACCCAAGAATATTTTTTCCATTGATTTTTAGAGACAGTGGAAGGGAGGGAGGGGAACAGAAAGGGGGAGAAACATTGAAGTGAGAGGGACACATCAGTTGGTTGCCTCCCACATGTGCCCTGACCAGGGGAATGAACCTGCAACCCAGGTATGTGCCCTTGACCGGGAATCGAACCCACAACCCTTTGGTGCATGGGACAACTCTCTACCACTGAGCCACAACACCCAAGGCTCATTTCCATTGCGTTTAAACAATTAATTATTTTAAGCACTAATAGTAGACTGTATTGTAATTGTATAATAATTAGAAACATTTTCATTTGAAATTCGGTTCTTTCATGTAGTTACTGTGTATTTTTGAGCTAGCCAACAAAATCTCACTGAATTTTAAATCACACTTTTTATAGAGAAAGATATTAATATGGATTTGGCGATTTAATGAGGTAATACATGTAAAGCATTTAGAACAATGCTAAACACTTAATAATTATTAGTTATTAATAATAATAACTTTGAACTGGTTCTATAGTGAAGAATAAGCACTTTGAATAGAGCACACTAAAAATAATAATTATAATAATTGCATAAATAAAAATCATAAGTAACAATTATTTATTTAAACTGGCAAGTTTAAACATTTTATTCTCTACTAAGGAAATCTTTCAAAGATATTACTAGAATGTTAGATAAAAAGAAAAGCTGGGCTCCAGCCTCAAAGTTCCATCGAAGTCACATCACATAAAAGGTCAAACACAAAACATAGAGATCTAAATCACCAAAGTTCATAGTTTAGGTTCATGCATTCATGGTATCTATCTGTGGAGAGGACGGCTGGAAAGCATGGTCTGGCTGACTATCTATTCTAGACCCCCTCAGCCCAGGAAATGATGGGCTGGTGCTTCCTAAGGAGTCGTTTCTCTGGGCCGGGGTTTCCTTGTGCGCAGGTTGTGGAGTGGTGCTCCTTGCTAAAAAGTCCCCCGGATCATTCTGTGTCCTGTCTCATCCCATTCGCCATCCATTTCCCACCCAAGTGAAAGGTGCTGCATGTCACACGCATCAATATGTGAGGGAATGTTCTCTGTGGACAAGAGTTCACTGGAGTAAACTAATAAATATTCCAACGTTTACAGCCCTAAATTCCTTTGGGAAAGAATGCATACAGGAAGTTCATAGTTGGGGAACTAAAGGAATTGCCCATCAGAATAATGAGACTATTTTCAAGTCCCTTAGAAATGCTGAGCTTAGAAATAAATAGTGGGAAAGATATGAGAGCACAAAAAATAAATGAAAAATGTGAAGTAGTAGATTTCCTTCTGAAAAAAAGAAACATTTTATGTAATCATAAAGGAAAAATTCTTATCTAGGAAATAAAAAGCATAATTGTTGTAATTCTTTAATCTATTTGTTTTAAGTCTTAAAAGAACAACAACAACAACTTCTTCAGAGTGGGAAAAGTGTCATTCTTTGTTGCAGTTCCTATTTGAAAAGCATTTTACATTGATTTTTGTTGTCTTAGGTCAAGGGTTCCATAAAAATAAAGAAATTATATATTCTTCTTATAAACATTACATGTACATATAGGTTCATATATGTCCATTATGGTCAACATTAAAATGTAAACATGTAACCTTTTCTCATTTGGTCAAATGCCACATAAATGTCTAACTACTCAATTCTGCATGAAAACAAAGGGATTGTATTGTTGTTAATTTACAACATTATGCTATTTTATAGTGCATTTCACTCAAGCACAGAAGATATTTTATATTTTATTTTTATTTTTAATCTTCTTTATTGATTAAGGTATTACATATGTGTCCTTATCTCCCCTTTGCCCCCGCCCCCGCCCCTCCCCTCATGCCCTCACCCCTCTGGTGTCTGTGTCCATTGGTGAGGCCTATATGCATGCATACAAGTCCTTTGGTTGATCTCTCCCCCTTATCCCCACCCTCCCCTACCTTCTCTCTGAGGTTTGACGGTCTGATCAATGCTTCTCTGTCTCTAAATTGCACAGAAGATATTTTAAAACTCTTGGCAGAGATGGGTAGTTATCTACATTTCTCTGCAAATATATCTTTAAATCTAAGATTTGGCACAGTTGTGAACATCTGACAACTGCTTATCTCTCCTTCCAGAACATCCTTTCAACAGTCGGAACTCATTAATGAAGCTTTACTGGCACACCACATTCTTGTAGTTACTTGCATAATTATATTTTCTACTGAACAAGAATCTGTTTTCTTGATTTCTACAGCTACAAATCCCAAACTTGAAGACTTTTGTTTTTCAGGATATACGTGCTCATTTTTATAACAGCACCAACAAAAATGAGTAAAGGTAAATGCAGTTGGAAACATTTACTGATTCTAAAAATCCTTTCTATATTTTGTAAAGCTTTGGCTTAAAAACTAACATTAGGAATTTCAAGTAAATGTTTCTATGGCCAATGAAAATAGATAAGGAAATAGAGGATAGTGTCTAGAATAATATATTTTCCCCCTCTTATTTCATTTAGCATTGCCTCAGTAATCTCACTTTAATAAAGACTTTATTTCATAAAGATGATGGACCAAAGGACAAAGGTAAAACATATCCCAGCCCCCACCAAAGGATGCAGTGAGGAACAACTTCAAGGTGAAGGCAAGGTATGGTTTTGGAGTCACCCCTGACATGACCTGAATGGTCTTGAGCAAGTCACCTGCTCTTAGCTTTAGTCTCCTTTCCTGTAAAATGGTAATGAAACTATTGTGTGTAAAATATGGTGCTTGGCACATGGTATTGATGCTGTTGTAATAACCTGGTTGTTAGTTAACAGGAAAGGAGCAAGACAAGACCAAATAGTAGAGGCAGGCCATTTGTACAGCTTTGCCAAAAAGCTGCATTTAACACTCTCCACGTCTGTTCCCCGCTGATCGATGGGGAAGGGACAGGACAAAGGCAGTTTAGACACATGCCCAGTAAGGTTCGCGTGATGTGCAACGGTGCCTACGTGTCTGCCAGTCACACCTGGGAACAAATGAGTGGCCACTAGGATGGGCGCGGCCACTGCAAATGCATGAAACCTGAATATTTAAGACTTCCTAACACAGGAAGTTCCTGCTCTCCCCTCTTACTCTTCTCCCTCTCGTGCACCAGGTTCCTGGCTCTCCTGCGGCAAGGGGGTGCGCTCCCCTGCACCCACCTAGCGCACGGCCATGTGGGCCTCCACACATGGACTAATGGACTTCAATCAGCTTGGATTCTGAACCACACCGGCTGCAACATGGCACGGGAACTCTGGACACTGGCCTTGCTGCTGGTTCTGCTGGAACCCAGCCGCACCTTTTCCAGGACCGGCTTAGGGGCAAGGGATTTTGGAACCTAGGAAATGGAACTTCACACCACATCCCATCCTGCCATCCAAATCTTAGAAAATTCCTTTTCTGAAGATATGGCAAGAACCTCACTCACTCATACTAATTCTCTGGTAGTAGTATGAGTTGAAAAATAAAAAAGGGAGAATAAAAAGGAAGAGAGGGAAGGAGAAGGAAAGGGAGGCACGGCTCCCACCATAGTAGAGGCGAGTGTCCAGCTTTGTGTGATTTGACTGGACTCAAATCCTCCAGATCATGTTCTTTGATAAACCCATCCTGCTGCAAGCACATAAAAATAAAAATGAAATATAGAAAAAAAATACATAGTTGGGATTAAAAGCAAGATAAGCTTTGCCTGGGCCAAAGTGAGCAGAAACAAACGCAATAAGCAGGACTCTAAATTCTGCCAGAGGCGGGGCCAGTCAGGAGGTTAGCTCCTTCAGAATAAAGAGGAATAAAATCCTGCCCATAAAATGGTAGCGCTTGAAACTAGGGTCTGGTGGCCAGTTTTATAAAAATTTTTAAAAGGTCAAATTGCCACCTCTAAGAGGAAAATATCTGAAAAGTCACAAGTAATTAATGTTACAAATAAAAAGAGATCATAGCAGATAAAGCAGATCATTAAAAATCATAAGCTACCACTACAGATAACTTTATGTCATTAAATCTAAATGGGGAAAATTTGAGAGGTTTATACATTAACACAATCAAATAAAACAAAAACCAAGAGCCTGCATTTAACAATAATCAGTAAAGAAACCGAATGGGTAATTAGTTACACCCACCAAAGACACAGGGCCCAGGTGATTTTACAGGCAA